TTAAAGTGTCCCTAAGCACCCCCCACCCCGTAGTTCTTCCGGGCAATTCAGATTGGCATATTTCTAGGTGTTGAATCCAAGAAAGATAACATCAATGCGGCTCCGTTGTACACGATCATGCAACAGCTCCTCACACCTTATTTTGATGACTGATAAATAACCCAGATTCCGGAGGCTGGATCTTTTCAACCCGCCCCCTTTCCTAGCTGCCCCGTAAGGAGGAAAGTTCAGAGGTGCATAGGATAAGAGGCAAATGATTACATTGTAATGGTTAGCAGAGGCGAATAAACAAAAGGTTACTTTGTAGTGAATAGAGGAAGTGAAAGTAATAAAAACCCTCCCCCTTGGGAGTATGGCAGGACCCAGGAAAGGTGTAAGGATTGATTTTAGATCGGAGGAGATAGATAGAAAGCAAATATGACTGGATCCTGACATCCTGCCCTCCTTAAAAATAAGAGAAATCCACCTGTAGAGAAAATAAAACAGGTATAAAAGTTAGTCTGGCTTGTTAGGATATTCTATATGAAACTTCTTTAACAGATTCAGGGCTACTAAGTATTCAGTTGTCCCATGATATCTCCTAGAGTCTAGGATTTCCTTTATTTCGAAGTGGTGTTCTCCTTCCACCATGACTGGAGGTAGAGGGGGAGATTTTTGGCCGTAAGGATGACTATTGTTCTCTTTTCAGTAAACTGCAGTTAAAGATCGGGTGTATTTGCCTGAGATTTTCAGGTAATTCTAATTCTACTGTTACTGGGTTTATGATTCTTTTAATTGGAAAAGGTCCTATATATTTTGGTCCATGTTTTTTACAAGGTTGTAGGGATTTTAGATATTTTGAAGACACATATACCATTTCTCCTACATGAATGGTGTAGGTTCAGCTCTTTTTTTATCTGCTTGTGCTTTGTATGCTTTCCTAGCTTTGTCTAAGGCTTTTCTAACTATTGGCCAGGTGTTTTGTAATTGTTCTATCCACTCTTTCAGTGATGGGATTGCTGGTTCGTTTGGGATTAATTCTGGCATGGGGTTGAAACTTTGACTGTTGGCTATTTGAAAAGGAGTGTAGCCTGTGCTGGAGTGGGCTGCGTTATTGTAGGCAACTTCTGCGAAAGGGAGTAGGTCCATCCAATTCGATTGCTGGAAATTAATGAAGCATCTTAAGTATTGCTCAAGTACTGAGTTAGCTTTCTCTGATTGGCCGTTCCCTTGAGGATGATGACTAGATGTCAGTCCCTGAGTGGTCCCTAAAAGGGATAAAAATTCCTTCCAGAATGCAGACATAAATTGCACTCCCCTATCAGATATAATGTGTTGGGGTGCCCCATGCAATCTGTAAATATGCTGCATGAAAAGTTTCGCTAAGGCTTTTGTGGTGGGAATCTTTTGGCAAGGGATAAAGTGCACCTGGTTTGGAAAACAAGTCCGTGACCGTCCAGACGACAGTATTCCCATTGCTTTCTGGTAATTCCACTATAAAATCCATGGTTATTTCCCTCCAGGGAGCTGAGGGATTCGCCACTGGTTGTAACAGTCCGGCCGATTTCCCTTGCAACCTCTTAGCAGTTGCACACGTTGGGCAGCTGGCCATGTAATTTTCTATGTCCTTTTGCATGGATGACCACCAAAATTGCCTTTTAATTAAATGTAATGTAATGTTTTTACAAATCCAAAATGCCCTACTGATTTTGTGTCATGGTACAGCTGCCACGTGTTTGTGGGTAAAAAAAAAAGTTCCAGGAGACTTTCTAACTTCTCGTGAGAAGTTAGAAAGTCTCATGGAACTTTTTTTTCTTGTCTCACAAATACCTGGCGAAGGCTGAGAAGGACAGGAGAAAGGGAATGCTGCTGAAAGCAGGTGAGTAAAAAAACACTTGGGGGAAGTGAGGGCATCTGGGGGCGTGGGGGGACCCAGGCAATGCATCGCACAGCTCCAGCAGAATCTCTACTGAAGACTGCTTGAGGCTGCTTGCCGCCCCCAAGGCCGAAGCCAATCAGCTGGAGCTGTGCACTTCGATCCTGGGCTCTCAGTAGGACCCAGGCAATGTGCAGTTCCAACTGACTTTGCCACAAACCTGTGTGGCACTGCTGCCGCTTCATCTCATCCACTTTTACACTTTTTTTTTACATTTTTTTACCATTTTTTTAAACCCGTCCTACGCGTACCACCAGCCAGGTGCTCGCGTACCACTGATGGTACGCGTACCACCGGTTGAAAAGCCCTGCTCCAATTTACCTAGGGGTTCCATTTCTTTAACCATTCCAGCCCTAGGATCAATGGGCGTTCCATGCCTGGAGTTACTACAAACATTATGTCTTCCCCATGGTTTCCCCCCCTGCTATTGACCCATCTAACTGGCCAAATTTGATTGGTTGTTTTAGCCTCCTCACCGGTCTGCCCAAATTCCTCACTAGCCTCAGGCTAATGAGGCAGTGGGTGCAGCCAGAGTTTATTAAGACTTTCACTTTGACAGCTTCGGGCATGGAGGGAGCTAATATAGTCACTGTCTTAAGGATGGGTGCGATGGGTCCACTTACCAGGGGTTCGCCCTTCAAGCTGTCGTCTGAGGTGTCCACCGGCCCTGCGGTGTAGGCTGGAGTTCTTTTCCCACATTGGGCAGGGATTGGGGACTCCACAGCCTCTATCGCTCTCATGGCGGGTTCTTTTGGATTGGCTGGGGACTTTCCGGATTTCCTGGTCGGTGATTGGTGATTCCTGGGTTGTGCTAAGGGGCTTTCGAGCAGCATTCTACGGCCCAATGCCCCTCTCTCCCGCATTTGAAACAGCTCATTGGCTTCTTGGCCATAGCCAGTGGCTTCTCTGGCTCGCGCATCAGCTCAGGCGGCGAGAGGCCCCATGGTGCCTCTTCAGTAGGTCGATCTCTGCTTCCTCTGCCAGGATGTACCATTCGTTGAGTTGGTGTGGGTTCCCCCGGGGCAGGCAAGCATCATACAGGTTGTAATTTAGGCCATCTTTGAAATGGCTAACAAGGATGTCTTCCAGCCAGTTCAGCTTGCTGGCAATGATCCAGAGTTCTTGCGTATATTCGGCTACCGTCTGTCTGCCTTGCCTCACCGTTTTGATTCTTTTGCGGGCTTTGCGATCAGCCAGGGGTACTCAAATCGTCTTCTCAGGGAGGACATGAAATGGTTGACATCGTTGAGCTCTGGGGCATTGGAGTCATGTAAGTTCACCACCCAATCTGCGGCCGGTCCTGTCCAGAGCGGATTGCACGATATGGATGCGGGCTTTGTCGCTAGGGATGTGCTGCCTGTATTCTTCCATGTAGCTGAGGACGGTTTAGGAAAAACCCCAAGCATGTCGGCTCCCCCTTGAATTTCGCATCCAGCGGCGGGAGTCTTTGAATGTATCGGTCCCCTCGCTGTCGGTGGTATTGTCTTCCATCCGGATCACCATCTGAGGGTCAGCGGGGAGTGGGGGTCGCTGAAATGGTCGCTACTGGATCAGAAGACGTCCCCGGGACTACAGGTTCCAATTTCCCCTCAGTGTCTCTCTAGCTGCAGCTCCAGGTGCTGGTGCGGCCGCAGGGCTCAGAATTCTCCTCCCCTAGAGAGCCGAGGGTTCTTTTCCTCAGGTTGATAACTTTCTCTAGGATCCAGTTCGAGTGCTGTGCCCAACTTCCTTCCTCTTCGCTAATGTGCAGGGATTTCTCCATCTCCTGCTTCCATTCTGGTTGGTGGGCTCCCCCGTCTCAAGGTCACCTTTCTCGATCTCTTTTCCCACGCGCTTTTCTTTCCAACACCCCTTGACCACCGAGATTTGTGCTTACGCATCTCCACCACCTCTTCTCCTGAGGAGTATGACACTTCAGATCCCGATAGCTGGCAGGTTTTCGGTGGGGGGGAGGCTTCCTCTCCATGGGGTGTTCTCCCTTCCTTGCCTTGTCATCTGGACATTGTATTTTTTGCAAAGTCCCCCAGCAAGGTTCTTCCTTCCAGGTTGACTATTACTGCAGATCCTGTCTAATGTAAGGAACCACTTCAATCCACATCTTAAGAAAGCAGAACTCTTGGAAACGGTTTCTTTCAACAGGAACTTTTATTAAGAGAAATTGATAGCAGGCATGATAGACAGGATCTGAGGGATTCCCTCACAAATCGGTGTTTTAAAGAGTCCCTAAGCACCCCCCCCCCCCCGCAGTTCTTCCAGGCATATTTCTAGGTGTTAAATCCAGGAAAGATCCGGCTCTGTTGTACATGATCATGCAATAGCTCCTCACACCTTATTTTGATGATGGATAAATAACCCAGATTCCGGAGGTTGGATCTTTTCAAAAAAAAACCCCCCAGCTTCCCCGTAAGGAGGAAAGTTCAGAGGTGCATAGGATAAGAGGTAAATGGTTACATTGTAATGGTTAGCAGAGGCAAATAAACAAAAGATTATTTTGTAGTGAATAGAGGAAGTGAAAGTAATAAAAAACCCTCCCCCTTGAGAGTATGGCAGGACCCAGGAAAGGGTAAGGATTGATTTTAGATTGGAGGAGATAGATAGAAAGGAAATATGACTGGATCCTGACACCTAAACACATTAGGAATCACTGTTCTAAAATACAAATGGAACAAGTGCTTTTAAGCTGCTCTTAAACCTATTTCTACAGTTTTTTGACAATATTAATACACCTTCATTAATAACTTACATTTCAGTATAAAATAAAAAAAACCTTGTTTTTAAAAGTGATGTCTTTCATTAGTGTCCAAACTAATTTTTAATAAAGGTCATTTTTTTTTGCTAAAAAAAATTGTTAGGATTTGGCTGACCATTTATGTCTATGATTTGGTTGAGGGTTTTAAACGTGATCATTTTTTAAATACTTTTTGAAAATGGGCAAGTTAGAGTACTTGGGTATTTGTTACTTTGATCATAAGAATCCTTTTTTATTATTATTCATATACATTGCTTCATGTTAGTTTTTCCTTTTTCATAATTAATTTTACAACTCAACATTTTTATCTAATTTAACATTTTCATATTTTTAAAGGTCCCCAAGTGCATCCAATTTTCCAACTTTACCAAAGATCTCTCCATCTCTATCAAATATTTATAACAACATCAACAACAGAAAGTAAGCACTGTATCTTAAAGAACTTTTAATTTTAAACATCCAAGTAAAGTTTCAAAAAGAGATTGTGTACAAATCTAGAAAAACAACTTGGATGTAATTTATTACTATGGAAATGTAGAGGGCACCAAGACTTAAAGAACACAAAAACCCTAATGAGTTGAGAGAAGTATTTCTGCTTTGCTTTTCAGAACCTAGGAACCGTAACATGCTTTGTAGTATCACTTTCTGATTTGAGAACATTACATTAAAAAAATTCTTTAGCAAGAAAGGACTACATGCAACAATACTCATGTAACATTGATCAGGTTCTCCTAGTTTAGGGATTTCTCCTAGTTTTGGGAAGGTTTGAAATTTTTGTAATTTTTTTTAAGTATATGTGTCATATGTAATGACAAATAAAAGCTATGCATATGGTTCATATTATTATAGGATACTTCTGATTATTTCCCTAACAGAAATATAATATACTATAATAGTTTTAAAACATTGTCTATCAAATAGTTTAGTACATTTGGAGTTGTTGTAATAAAAGTATTTTTTGCAGTTCATTACACACACACACACACATATACAAACACACACACATACATATATATATACATATATATATATACACACACTTACATACATACATACACACACATACATCATACATACACACACACACACACACACACACACACACACACTAATAATTTTGAATATTGGAATCCCAGGTATGGATATTTAAAGTCAATCAGATAAAAATAAAGAGCTCTGGGATGTAAGGTAAAAGGCTTTTTTATTAATTGCTGAGCTTTCGTTAACAACCTATTAACATCATCAGATCAAAGGGCTAAATGGGAAGGGGGAGAATGTGCATAAATTTACATAACAGTTAAACAACGGTTGCAGTGAGGCATGTGCACATAACGTGCTTAAGAAACTCTTAAAGGCATAAAGCAGTCAGTCTCAAGATTATTTTCAAAAGTCGCGCTTGTCAAAGGGATCTGGATCTATGCGCCAAACAGCTGACAAGCGCGACATTTGAAAATAACCTTGAGACTGATTGCTTTATGCCTTTAAGAGCTTCTTAAGCACGTTATGTGCACATGCCTCACTGCAACCGTTGTTTAACTGTTATGTAAATTTATGCACATTCTCCCCCTTCTCATTTAGCCCTTTGCTCTGATGATGTTAACAGGTTGTTAACGAAAGCTCAGCAATTGATAAAAAAGCCTTTTACCTTACATCCCAGAGCTCTTTATTTTTATCTGATTGATTTAAATAAACACACACATATATACATATATATGTAGTATGTATGTGTGTGTGTGTATATGCGCTTTTTGCTAAGCTTATTGCTTTCTGATAGGCATACTGGAAAAAAGGTAGTTACAAATGCGATGTTGCTTCTCAAAATTTATGGATATTACTCAATTGTTAACATGTTTTAGTGTTTCATAGTAATATTTCTAAATATTTTATACAATATCTTCCAGTTAAATACTGCATTTATGAAAAGGGAGTTTTCGTATGGGGCGAAGTGGCATTTGTGCTTCTACTAATTGTGAGTAGCCCCAACTCTCTGTTAGACAAATACATGTATTTAACTGTAGTCTATTGTACTCTGTGTGTGTGTGTGTGTGTGTGTGTGTGATAAACTCAAAAAATTATTTCTTTGATGTATATAAACCAGACCTCAATTGATGTTATCCTTTTATTAGAATAGTGATAATGTTATATGAAAAAGCACAATATCTAAAGTTATGAGACAGTTGTCATCTGTTTAAATCTCATTTTAAAATGTAATATAAAATTTTAGAAACATTATATTTCCATTTGATGAAATTGTCTGATAACTAGCAGGCAGGTACTTTTTATTTTAAGTTAAAATGTATTTTAAGAGTAGCTTCTTAATTCAGTTAATACGGTGTTGTAATTCTAAAACACAGAGGTCCTTAGTTTATCTACCATAGATTTTGTAGTACATCTTTCTATCTAAAGTTTAGCTAAGTAATAAGTTGGAAATAATAGTTTGTTTGTTTTGGCAAATTCTGTGCTTCTTGCTGTACTGATATCCAGACGCAATCCTAGAAGTTGATTTCATATACAATCACTGTAATTTTACTTCATCTCCTGTTATGTATTAACTTATAAAAATAGGTGTTTAGGTTTGCTTGGAAAAAAGATAGGCATTTTAGTAAGTTACAGTTTCTTCCACTAACCCGAATTTTTTTATTTTTTTAAAAAAATAGGATATAGTCATTTTGCTGAGAGAAAACTCCACTGAACTCATCTGGGCTAACTTTTTGAGTAGAAATGTAAGGGATCCATTTGTGGTACATTGTGATTAGCCTTTTGTTTGTCTTGAACATAGTTGGAACTGAAATGTACTAAATTCATATGAATTAAAATCTTGCTTTAGTCAGTCATAAATACAGATCTATTTTAGAATATTATTTTTACCTAATCGTGACTTAGATATGTTTTTAATAAACCATTTAAAACATACAGCCATTGTATTTTACTACTTATCAGCTTAAAAAAAGTAATTGTTTTAAAACATTATTTTTCTCCATTGGTGTTCTATTTATAGAACTTGCTTCATATTAATTTATTCATGTATTTATTTATTAAATTAGTATGCCATCCATCTCATTCTGAAAAGTGACTCTAAGTGCCTTAACACATTATTTTTCCTGCTCGGTTGTAATATTTGATTCTTGGAGTTGAAGAACACTGCATTTAAGAAAAAAAAATCCTTGTTACTGTAAGGACCTGTCTCAGCTAAATCTCCCAAGAAAGCAGAACTCTTGAAACATGCATCATTTCAACAGGAACTTTTATTGGGGGATGCTGACTACAGGAAAGTAAGGCAGGATCTGAGGGTTTCCCGCGCGAAACGATACATTCAAAGAGGGAATCCAAACCCCACCCCAACTATCCATTCGGTCGGTTCAAACAGAGCCAATCCAAAGGTGTCAAATTGTGGGAATGAACCGATAAGGCGCCGCTCTCAAGGTTGTCAAGTCTTTCTGTGGCTTTTTCCCTCTGCCTGGAGATAAGGCAGATGGCCAGAGGCACATTCCTTTCTCACCCCGAAAAAGAGATATATCAAAGAGGAAAGAACAAAGAAAAGGAAATACACTGCAGAATATCCATAAGGCCCCTCCCCCCAATAAAATGACAGAACCCAGAAATGGAAAGGGAATAAGGAAAAGAAAGGGGAAGGAGTTCTGACAGTTACATTATTTATGCCTATATGATATCATGCTTCTCTTCTTCACACCCCCAAATTCTCAGAATACCCTACTTAATGAATAAAATAGGCTGAAATTCCCTAAATGTACTTATTTTTCTTGTGCTCCAATGTATCAGATTAAATGTTTTTCTATATATAAACTCAGATAAAATGTAAAGAAAATTATGAAGCATGCAATTTTGATGGATTGCTTTTACAAATCATCACTTTTATATATATTAGCATTTTTAACTTCAAACTACCTTCTGAATTTGTTGTACTGCTGTTTTATTTCAGCAATACAACCTCTATACTTCCAGGATGCTCACTTTTACAGCATTGATACACTAAAACAATGTTTTCTGTTTCACTAATTTCATCAATTATGAATAAGCTTCCTTCTATAACTATTCTTTTATCAAGAATGTTATCAATTGTGTGGATATTATAAATAAAAATTTAAAGAGAGCACAAAAAGTTGAGCAATGGTGCTCAAAAAAATCCACCCAAAGACATAGGAACCCTTGCCAAAATTGATTTGACTATTCCCTTGTTTGTTTTCATAATATTATATGTAAAGTACGGGGAAAAATTAGGGAAAGTTGTTAAAAACATAAATATTAAGCACTACTTCTGCTTTACTACTAAAATTGTTTCTTCACAAATTTATAGAAATTCTATTTTTATATATATTATTTTGTAAGTTCAGTACCTCAATTAATTTCCCCAGTCTCTCATCAGAATATATTAACAATGTTTTTGTCATACCTGTTTCAAGTTTATATTATTTTCAGTATTATAGTTTTTATATCTCTAATGATGTATCAGTGGTTTCCCTTGAATAAGTGTGCGCTAGTAAAAACAAAGTGTATACATGACTATTTGAATTCCAGGTCATGTAATGTATATTTAATTGACAGCCTGCATAGTAAAGATCCCATGCTGAATTATGTATGGAAATTTATCATATATCATATATCAACTATGCTACTTTGTAACCATTTACAGTGATTAACATGCTTTCCCTGGAGAAAAAACAAATGAAGTTGTGAAGGTATTGCTCTATAGCAATAACCTCCAGTCTGCTATGTCATAGTCATGGTTCTAATGTAGAATTAGAAGATGATTTTTATTTTTGTATTGTTTAAGCAATATTAATTCTAAATTCAGATTTAAATGGGAAATGTATATAGATTAAATTTATTACATCTTCAGTGTTGGATAGTTAATATACTTGTATACTAGCACAATGAGTTTTTTTTCCTTTAAAAATATGTGCACAGATGCAGCTACTACCTGTGTAACCCGCTGTTTTCAGTCTCACAAGTCACATCTCTGTCACTAGAATGTTGATGCAATTACTTGTGCATATGTCATGTAAATTTCACTGATTCTTGCATATATAAATATGCCTATAAATACATATGCAAGCAAAAAAAGGTTAGATTCTGAAGAATGTGGTGCTTTTTATGTTTTGTACTTTTTCTTATTTCCTATTATAAATAGATCATATCTGTATATCTTGATATATGAAATTATAAAACAAATTAAAATACAGTGCTTAAAGGTTCTGTATGGAGCCTTTATTATTCCATGCTGTTTGCTTTGATTTTTGCTGGCATAGTGGTTAATCTAAAAACAGAATTAAAATGTATTTAGCAATTTATGATATCCTTGGAAATCTTTATGTCTCATCTGTTGCTAAAGTATCGCTATTTCCAGGTTTTAGTATTTAACAGTAGCACAATTTAACTATACTATATTGCTGATTGTGCCAAACATTTTAACTGTTCAACTGAAATATTGAAAAAAATACTACTTTTTAAATTAAAAATTGAAAAGTGTTCAAATAATTTTTATTGTTTCTGTGTTTAAATTCAGAGTATAAATATTTCAGCTGTATGCATTTAAGCTAGACAGCTATAGTTCATGCAATTGCAAGGTAAATATGTTTTCTTCCAGCATGAAAAATTCAAACTACTGCCTTCCTTCATACACTGCTTATAAAAATTATGACTACTCAGAGCCAGGAAGACACAATGAACAGCCCGGTCTTTGTGGTCTAAGTAATTTGGGAAATACATGTTTCATGAATTCAGCAATTCAAGTAAGTATTTCATGTTAAGTAAGATTTTACTTCATTGTACATAAAGAGCTTTCAAAATGGAGACTGCTGGTAGAATGGGGAGTTTTTTTAATAGGGAGTTTTGCTCATGCCCTGTTAATCAGAATTTCAAATTTGCATTGATTTCTGTGATTTTAAATGCTTTTATAGGGGATATTAGTAAGAGGTAAATAGTTATAAAATCTTGCTTGGCTGTGACTTGGTTCTTTGATATTTATTTATTGTTTTTCTATAATTTCTATCATACCCACTAATTAAAAACTGTTTAAAAACAGAGCCAAAGACCAGGAGCATAAGAAAATAATAAAGAGAAAGGAGAACCTTTAAAAACAAAATACTTACAAAGGAAAGTAAAGCTGACAGCTATATTGCATCTGATATATTTCATTTGGTGAGTGTAGTTGAGTCTCAGTTCAAAAGTTTTCACCCCAGCTTTTACCTTAGTCAGATATGAAGAGACAGATGTGCATTTGAAGAGATAGATGTGCATTGTTTCCATAACTCCAAATAACCTAGGCCATCAATTTCATAGGTAATATGAGGAATACAATATAACTCTATACAGGTAGTCCTCGACTTATGACCACAATAGGGCCCATAAAATTGGTCATTAAATGATGTCATTAAGTGAGGCATCATATGACCACACCACATTTTATGACCTTTTTGCTGCAGTTAAGTGAGACATCACATGACTGCAACTTGTGACCTCCTTCCAGCTTCCCCATTGACTTTGCTTGTCAGAAGACAGCTGGGAAGGTCGTAAATGGTGATCACATAACCGCAGGATAAGACCATCATAAATGTGCAACAGTTGCAAAGTGCCTGAATCACGATCATTTGACTACAATGATGCTGCGATGGATATAAGGGCAAGGACAGTCGTAAGTCACTTTTTTCAGCACCATCACAATTTCAAACATGTGATAAACACATGGTCGTTAAGCAAGGACTACCTGTAAGACATAGAATAACAGGAAAGGGCAGAGCAATAATTTACCAGTGCCGTCTTCTGAAACTGGGCATCTGTCTAGGGATAGATGACATTTAACCTGGAAAAAAAATTAGAAAAAGCCAACGTGGTATAGTGGTTAAGATGTTGGCCTTGAAACGAGGAAAGTGTGAGTTCTAATCCTGCCTTAGATATGAAAAACCAGTTGAGTGACTTTGAACCAGTTACACTCTTACTATCCCAACTCTCTTCATAGGGATGTTGTTGTGGGGAAAATAGGAACAGGTATTGGTGTATTTTGTGCCTTCAGTTGTATATGAAAAAAATCTCCAAACATATAGAAGTAGTATGCTCACAAGACTTATGGAAGAATTTCTAATCTTATTTAAAATTTCTGAAATTTCCAACAAAATCAGCCAATGATTTCTCCACTGTTTAATGTCTGAAACCCAACCAAGAGCTGACCTGAAAAGCAATCACTTGCTCAAGCACCTTCCCTGGAATCAGATATTGACAACAGATCTCTGGTTGCCTTCTAGGTCCGTGTTTTGTGGTGGTTGTTATACTGTTGTTATTAGTTTCTCTAAAGAGATTGATATCACCTTTTCTCTGAAAAGAGGTGAACTTTCAAGTGCAATCAAACCCTTATTAGATATTATACAGCATCTTGATGAAGGTCAAATACTCATAGTTTTAATCAACAGTTATCTAATAAGATTAATCTGGTTGATCTTTTTATTGAGACTGCATAATTGTGGAATCCAAATTGCAATTATTGTGAACAGTTTTACAGTATATCAACATAATCTTCTTGTCACATATAGCTATATAATTTTCTATCATCTTTACCTCTAATCTAATTTTAGGAGCCTTTAAAATACTTACCGTAAATGCCGGCGTATAAGACGACTTCCGCGAGCGCTAAAATCGGCGCCAAAGACGGGGGTCGTCTTATACGCCGAGTCGTCTTATACGCCGGAAATACTGGTAGTTTCCGGCGTATAAGACGACGTTCTAGGAATGCAGCCCGGCTATAAAGATGGGGGTCGTCTTATACGCCGGGTCGCCTAATACGCCGGCATATACGGTAATATTTCTATCCTGAGAAAATGCAATCATGGAAAAACTTACTAGTCCCCATTATTCCAATAAAATGGGTTTAATAACTAGCTCTTATTTGAATTCAGTTGAATAGCTGCATTCCAATCATCAGCACAAATAGAGCAGCACTGTTCCATGAGAAATATTCTAGAGCTTCTGTTTTCTGTTATATTAATCAGCCTAGCATGAGGAACTTGATGACCTGCATGATATTATTGTTTTGATTGCCATTGGAGCCTAATAGTAAACCACAAATTATCCATCTCTGCATTAATTTAAAATAATCTCAAAATAGTCTGATCTAATAAGCTTTCTATCCTTACAGGGTAGAAAAACTGTAGGTGTTTTAATAGGACTCATTCAGTCATGACAAAGGCTAGATATTAATTTCTCATTGTTTTATTACCATTCTTCTGTCCAATCAAGAAAACCAAATGAAGCATGTGTTTGTGACTACTAATCTTTTCAGACACAAAATCCTAAACCATTGTAAAGAAAGCCTTGACATAGAAATTTAAGTCTCCTAAAAGCATCCTCTCAAAAGTCTTCAACAATAAATATGGTTCAACCTTGATAGCTCAGGCATAAAGATTAATTGGTAAAGATATTGTGGACTTGGGAAACTAGTTGTCTACTGACTCTTTACTAAAATAATTTTGTAGCACTAAATCAATATACAGACTAGGAAAGAAAAAAGGCGACTTGATAAGTAAGTATGAAAACTGAAGATGGCATTGAGAGGCTTTAAAGCATTACTATGCATTATACAAAAGTATTTAATTTTACTCATTCATTTTTAGTGTCTCAGCAATACACCTCCACTCACAGAATATTTCCTTAATGATAAATATCAAGAAGAGCTAAACTATGACAATCCATTAGGAATGAGAGGTGAAATTGCAAAATCTTATGCAGAGCTCATCAAGCAGATGTGGTCAGGAAAATACAGCTATGTCACTCCAAGAGCTTTTAAGGTAAGTGTAATATAGTTGGATCCTAGAATGTTTATTTTCTTTCAGTTATATGATTTAAAAGTATTAAAAATAAAAAATGTAGATATAGTAATAAAATAGGCCCTTGAAAACAGCACCTGCTGTTTTTGTTGCTGTTGTTTTAACAGGAGATTCCTAGAAATTGCAGCAGTGACTCCTTTGCTTTTCCTCAATCCTATTTCACAGTATTACAATTATACATTTTAAAACCCATCAGATAAAAATACATTTTTCTTTGATTTAACAAAAATGCCTTTGCATTATGTCATATGACTCCACTATAAAAATATTTTATTCTCCAGACACAGGTAGGACGATTTGCACCCCAGTTTTCAGGGTATCAGCAACAAGACTGCCAAGAATTGCTGGCCTTTCTTCTAGATGGTTTGCATGAGGATTTAAATCGTATTAGAAAAAAGCCTTATATTCAGCTAAAAGATGCTGATGGAAGACCAGATAAGGTAATGTACCTTTTAGGTAATAACCTTACAGGATCTGGATAAATTTTATAAATACAAAAATATGTCTACATAATCTAGACAATTCAGTCCATATCTGTGACACTGTAATAGTAGGTGTGAATGACCTTGGAAAACAGGGATAAGAGCCACAGTCAGATAAAAGGCAGCTTATCCACAAAAGGAATATGAACATAGCAAACATCTCTGAAGAGATGTTCAGTAGTTTCTTGGGTTGTAAAGTCAATGTGAGAGAAATATACTTTTAGACTTGTACAATTGTGCAGGAAGCATGGTTAGATGAATTAATTCTATGGTAAAGTTACGGTAAGGTTACATCAACAGAATCTTGCATATCTGACAGTACCTTTGACTACAGATCATCCTGGAGAGGGTCTGTCTATGTGGTTGCTAGAAGTCAACACTGACTTCTGGATGATAAAAATCATAACTGCCCAATAAATTGAGCACAGGTGAAAAGCATGATGTGATGCTTGGTGTGCAAGAATTTCAGCTTTCTGGTCTGAAGAGATCCCATTCATATTTTTGATCAAAAAGAAGTTCCTATTCTGTATACAGAATTCCATCCTTGAAACTGTTAAAGAAAAGTTGCAAGAGGGGACGGCCTATGTTAATGCTAGATTTTAATTATTAAAGTGCTTGTTAGCACTTTGTTATTAAGATGCTGTGAAAAAAACTGCTTTGAAATATGGCATCAATTATTTAAATAATACTTCATTTAAAAATGATATCTACCGACTTGGGGAAAGATAGAAGAACAGGCTATGTAATTAAAAGTAGCCAAATATCTATTCCACAGAAAGTCCCACAGTCCTTTGAACATACTAGATACTCTCATATACACTGTATTCCTGTCACCGTATGCAATATTCCCATTCTAGGTGCTTTTTTTCCACACATCCAACATAAAATAGACAACCCCCTTCTCTACTTCCCTCTATATATTGCCTTCTTTAATTACTATTTTTCCCCACCTTACTCCTATCAAATCTACTTCCTATCTACTTTCTTCCCAGTTCTGTCTCTCTTCCCATCATTAAGCAATCCCAGTTTGCCCCACTGGTACTCAACAAACTGCTTTCTCATCATTCAGAGGCAACAAGTTCTCTTTTTTTTTGTAGATTCCTAGAAATGCTTCAGAACCAAGCATTTGTCTGTAGTTACTCACTGTTTTTGTGTTCCAAGAAATCTTTAATGGAGTAAGATAATTGATAAATGGCATGCCATCATTTTTTCCATTAAAAAAAAAAATCACAAATATAACCAATATGCTTTCTGGGGACTGGGGAGATATCCATGAATGCTTTCAGATCTTGTCCTAGTGGACAATCACCTAAATATGAGCCAGCAGTGTGCTGCAGCTGCCAAAAAGGCCAACACAATGCTAGGCTGCATTAACAGAGGGATAAAATCAAGATCACGTGAAGTGTTAATACCACTTTAAAATGCCTTAGTAAGGCCACACTTGGAATACTGCATCCAGTTTTGGTCACCGTGGTGTAAAAAAAAAGCTTGAGACTCTAGAAAAGAGAAGAGCAACAAAGATGATTAGGGGACTGGAGGCTAAAGCATATAAGGAACGGCTGCTGGAACTGGGTATGTCTAGTTTAATGAAGAGAAGGACGAGGGGGGACATGATAGCAGTGTTCCAATATCTCGGGCTGCCACAAAAAAGAGGGAGTCAAGCTATTTTCCAAGGTGCCTGAAGGCAGGACAAGAAGCAACAGGTGGAAACTAAGCAAGGAGAGAAGCAACCTAGAACTAAGGAGAAACTTCCTGACTATTAGAAGAATTAACCAGTGGAACAACCTGCCTCCAGAAGCAATGAATGCTCCAACACTGGAAGTTTTTAAGAAGAGACTGGACAGCCATTTGTCCAAAATGGTATAGGATTTCCTGCCTGAGCAGGGAGTTGGACTAGATGACCTCTAAGGTCTCTTCCAACTCTACTACTACTACTACTACTACTACTACTACTACTATTATTATAATATTTAGGAAATTAATTATCTAACATTGGCATCTAACATTAGTTAAAGATTCTTGCTTTTGATTCTATTTCTTGGTCAGCTGGTCCTGCTCCATATTAGAACAGAATTCTATGCCCAATGAAGACCTAGAAATTATCATCAAGTTTGTTTATGATAATCTGGCATTCATAATGAATATAATATAAAGAGGATAATATATAAAGGTACTAAATGTTTATCTTTCCCAAAAATTACTTAGTTACATTTTCCCACTGTAATCTGCTGGATAACACTATTAGGTTCTGTAAGGTACACATAGGTATGTGCATAATCTGTTAATTTCATTTAAGTATTTAATACTTCATAAAACTTATTTGTACTATTTTAACTTTGTCTTGATTTAGGTGGTTGCTGAAGAAGCTTGGGAGAACCATTTGAAACGAAATGATTCCATCATTGTAGATATATTTCATGGACTCTTTAAATCAACTCTAGTTTGTCCAGAATGTGCCAAGATCTCTGTAACATTTGATCCCTTTTGTTATTTAACTCTCCCTCTACCTATGAAAAAAGAACGTAGTTTGGAAGTTTATTTAGTTAGACTGGATCCACTTTCCAAACCCATGCAGGTGAGAAATAGATGCCATGTTTTACAGCAGTAGTTGCTTTAATTGTTAATTGAAATGAAGTTTTGTTTATTTTTATGAATTTTAAGTTATACTTTCAATTAGATACTGTGGTCTTTTCTCTTAACTATGTCTATAACTTGTAACTTTGTGTAATTTATAGTACCATCGTAAAGATGGCAGCTATTCTTCCCTTGAATCATAACAATCTTCGCTGTTATGATTACTACAGCAATACAACACAGTAAGACAGTAATTTGTTATGAATACTAGAACTAGAACTATTATAAGACAAAAGTGTGTAATATAAAGAATTATTTGATTTTTCAATATGATTGATATTAAATAATATGGTTTACAAATATAATTTTCTCCATTTTCCTCATAATTTAATCATATTTCTAGTTTAAAAATGCAAGAAGCTATGTTGATAGTTCTGTTTTCTGTTAAGGAATCATCTGTCTCTCAGCTTAGATTGCAGAAAATTGGCCTTCAAAACTTTTCTCCAGTATATCTTTGCTTTTGGGGCATAGTTCTATCCATAATCTTAATCATTTATTTGGTGGCAATTATAACTGAGCAAAGAATAAGATATTTTTTATATATGATGGGAAGAAAAAGGAATCAAGGTTGGACTTCTGGGTTAAGCAGAGTTATTAGTTAAAGGCCACAATCTTTGCATCTTTTTATCATAACTCTTGAGAAAATGTATCTGTTTCAACATTCTCATTATGTTGTCTGTTCAAAAATCTGTTTGACTGACAACTGTATTATTACAGTAGGTCTGGTGCCGGATAGAAGCAATTCTCAAGAATCTTTGTATTTTAAAATGAGATTGTATTTCTAAGAAAATTGGCAGAATATATTACAAGACTTCCTTTAACAACGATGAAATGGAGAGATCAACTATTTTGTCCCAGTTTCAACATCACTCCAAGCCATAAGCTTGCAATTGAGTTTGTCCATTCTTCAAAGGAAATAAAATACATCATTATTGTTTCCAGTTTGTAGTGCACTAGAACTCAGTGCTATATAGAGATTTCTGTGAGGGGCAAATTTTGGAAGCATTTTTTCCTGCAAGATGCAGTTTATAATTTATGCGAGAAAATCCTGTTGTGTATTAACTAGGCAACCAGAATAGTGCAAATTCAATGCAATGTTTTTTCTTTATTTATTCAGATCTATTTATTTCATTAAATTGATTTGTCTGGAAAATAATATCTTAAAGGCACAGCAAATATTAAGAATAAAATGAATGCATACATATTGTATTGGGGTGAAATTTCCTAGATTAGTTAATATTTAATAAGGATTCATTATAAATCAGATACATAATGAAGGAATATTATAATACTTTACTATAGCTTATAAAGCAGTAGTATGAATTGGAGGATGATGGCTTTGAGAGTCAAATATGAACATTAGTTTGTTTGAATGCTGCAAGAGAAATAGTCTTTACATTTTTCATGGTAGGCAATTGGATTTTATCACCAGTTGTTCTTTAATAGATTCCCTTTCCACCATCAAAATTTTCCTATTAAGCCACTGTCCTAACTAGTAATTCCTTTCCTTTAAAGATGGACTAGGGAGTTTGATCCATATATATTTACAGTTCATTCAACTAACTATATTTGTTTCCAAAAGCTCTCTTTCATATTGAATTTTCTTACATTACTTCAGTATTAAATTTTGGGGATTATATCCAGTTATCTTCTTTGTTTCTTAAGAATGACAATATTGTATTTTATTTTCTAGTACAAAGTAGTAGTACCAAAAATTGGAAATATACAGGATCTCTGCATCGCATTATCAACTTTGGCAGGTGTTGCTGCAGATAAGGTATGATATTTCTTAAGTGACTGTACATCAAACTAAATATTATCTATACATCTAAACAAACATAAAATGAATTGTGTTTCTCTTTTAGATGATCGTTACTGATATATATAATCATAGGTTTCATAGAATATTTGCAATGGATGAAAATCTAACTAGTATTATGGAACGTGATGACATTTATGTGTAAGTTCAAATCTATAGTCAAAACAAAAAAAATTCTCATAAATTGTATGTGATTTAGTTAAATTATATAAAAATATGGCCTAATTTAAAATTAGTATTTTGCATTTTTGTTTGATTTCATTTTTGCTGCTTTAGATTTGAAATTGCTATCAACAGAACTGAAGATACAGAGCAAGTTGTAATTCCAGTTTGTTTAAGGGAAAAGTTTCGTCATAGTGGTTATAGCCATCATAGTGGTTCAACACATTTTGGACAACCTTTCCTTATAGCAGTGCCTAGAAATAACACTGAAGATAAACTGTATAACCTTCTGCTATTAAGAATGTGGTAAGTGTACAAAAGAAATGCTACAGTACATTTGATGTGTATTGGATATATTTGCGCATTGCAAATGTAGATCTAGCAAAAGATAAAAGACTTCTTTAATCTGCTTTTTCTGATTCCATGGTTAATCTTAAAAAGAAAGATCAGCAATGTTTGCATGATGCTACGTACTTCTTTAATTATTTCATTTCATTTCTATATCCATCTCAAGAAATGGCGTTGAGCATACATCATGGAACATAAAAAACAAATAAAAATTTAAACAATATAAAATAAATTCTGATGGCACCAAGTAGAACTGTTACTATGTATGTTAAAATAACCAAGAAGTGGGGCCCTTAACACACTCTGGACCCTAGGCCCGGGCACACAATCAATCCCCATGGCTTTATGAAAGGCCAGCAGGGTCGGGTCAGTCAATATGTGAAAGGGAGAGTGTTCCAATGGGTAGGGACTATGGCAGAGAAGGCAGGTGGTCTGGTTCCTACCAGCCTAGTTATACTCTTCAATAATCCTGTGTCTTAAAGCTATTGAGTATTCAATTAGTAATCTTAGGAGATAGTTTGAAGATCATCAAAGGACTTCTTCTAGATATTTAAAATAAATTTTTATCCTCAACTATCTGTAAAGATTGCAAGATAACTTACAATATAAAAATAGAGCAGTGTTTATCAAGTAATGCTGCTGTAGCACAACTACAAAGTAAAAATATAGCAGTACTTGATTTCCAAACATTAGTATGGTTAATTTCATTGCATTATATAAATGTAGAAAAAAAATATCGTAACAAGAAGGTTGGTATATTAATTGATTGGTGCATTTCAGTCGATATGTGAAAACCTCTGCTGAAACAGAAGACAGTGAAGCATCTCTCCAGTGCTGCAAGGACAATAGTATCAATGGTAATGGTCCAAATGGAATTCATGAAGAAGGATCTCCAAGTAAGGCCTGAATTTTAAAAGCTTCTTAAATGTTAAACTGTGTTGTCTTCCTTTAAAACTTAACTTTGCCTTGTCAATTGCCTTTCAGCATATTGGTTATCCTTAATTCATAATCCTGATTAACATTCTAATAAATGTAGCAAAAAGTCACTCCCTAATACTTAAGATGCTAAAAAGTACAGTTGCAAACATAAGAGACTCTTTTGTTGTCATATGCTCAAATTGTATTTTGTATACTGTACATTATAATTCACAGTTAGTGTGTACTGTGTTAAAAGTATATTAAAAGAGTTTTAATACTTTGCATGTCTCATGAGAGTGCTCTGTTCTCTTTTAAAATAAATGTATTTTGTATAGAGAAATTGTGAAAGAAAGTGGTATTGTAATAACATTGCTCTTTCATCTGATAGAATGATGCCATTTATAAGTATTTTTGTTCCATTAACATACTATACAATTCTAATTATTGGGCTTAAAATAATATGGGCAATACTTAATGAAATCTAAGCAGAAAGAATGAATAAAATTTTAAAGAATCAGAGCTACTCTTTTTTAAAGTAATTCTTTGTAATTAGCATATATAGTAGAATGTTGGAAATTGCTGAAAATAGTTTAGTATAAAATATACACAGATTCTTACATTTTCTCCTTTATTGTTCTGAAATATTTGAGTTTTAGACCATATACCTCTTCTCAACAGCCAGTAATATCCTCAGTCCTATAATATTTAAAGAAATATCTTAATATATTAGAATCCATATTATTGTTTATCATTAGTAATAATCTTCCTTTGGCTTAATAAATCATCCAAATTTAAGATAAATCAGGTAGACTTTATCTGTCCTGGTTTATCAATGGGAATAGTTTATATACAATTCTGTTAATCTAGTTTTATGCATGTGTTTCAAATTCTAACCCAAACAATTTGTAAATTGTTTCAGAATTTTACATTAGAGATAGTCATACTGTAACTTTTTATGCCTTGATTTTACAATCCACATATCCAAATGTCAAAGATATTCACTCTATCATTATGTCTTCTATCACAGGTGAGATGGAAACTGATGAACAAGATGATGAATCTAGCCAAGATCAAGAACTGCCTTCTGAAAATGAAAACAGTCAGTCAGAAGATTCTGTTGGAGGCGATAATGATTCTGAAAATGGATTATGCACAGAGGATTCCTGCAAGGATCAATTTATAGGGCACAAAAAACGATTGTTCACATTCCAGTTCAACAGTTTAGGCAATACAGACATCAATTATGTCAAAGATGATACCAGACATATACGATTTGATGACAGACAACTTAGACTAGATGGTGAGTTTTATATTGGAGTAAATTGGATTTTTTAAAACATTACAATTATTATTTGGTCAATGAATAAATAATATTTCTCATCTTTTATGGCAAATCCTCACAAGAAGGTATACGATGAAAATGATAAACACAATATACATATTTTTAAAAGCATCAAATATGTTGCTGCAATGTAAAATCCTACATTTCACACTACTGTACATCCCCTACCATAAAACCACAATGCACCAAAGTTTGCTCATTGTTGGCTTTTTTACTTTTTCAATCAGAATTTCCTCTTTCACCTTGCCAGACATATTTAACAAACAAATCTCTGTAGTTTTTGTATTCACTCTTACCATTTTTCACTTTCATAGAGGAACAATAATGACATTCTTCCAAATGACAGGGCATTCAAATTTCCATTAAACATTGAAAGTCACTCCATAAACCATATCCATGTTTTAATATTTTTCCACATACACCATATATATCTGTGGAGTATTTTTCAATGTTTTCTCCCGGTTTTATGAATTCCTTCTTACCCATATTTTCTTGGACTCCAACATTTGTAGATAAGTTATAATTCCATACTTCAGTGTATCACTATGATTCCCATTCAGATGCCTAAAGTACTCCTTCCAGCCCGCTTTTACTTCAGATTCATCCCAAATCAATATTTTTAAAATGTCTTCATTCTGCTGTTATTCAAATATTTTTAACTATATCCAAAACAATTTCAACTGGCAGGATACAGGAATAAAAATTTATCTCCCATTGCCCCCACTCTATGCAGCACTCTCTCCCCAGAGGTGAGGTGGGCCCCCACTCACCTGACCTTTTAGAAAGGCATGAATACATGGCTGTGGTACCTGCTTGAGACACTCAGAGAAATATTGGACTGGTTAGCCCATGAAATCCTTTCCCTGCCTTTTAATTAATTTTTTAACATTCCTTGCTTCTTTTAAATTTTGTATACTGTTTTTAATGCTTGTAATATTTTATTTCTACACTGCTCAGAATCCTTCTGAGAGGAAAATGGGCAGTTCCTAAATATGAAAAATAAATAAATATTTTATTTTCACCAAATTTTTTCTGCATTTTTTGCCTGTTTAAACCTTAAATCTTCCTTGCTCTCTTTGTTGTCTCTTCTCTACCTCTATTTTTTCTATATACACCTTGAAAAATGTTTTTCATACTTGTAATTATTTCGTTCTATGCATCTTTTCCTCCCCTACAGATGTATATCCATTGCTTTTCCAGTTGTAGGTATGAAATAGACTTCTGCTTAAACCATGTAATCAAAACAAACCATTCTTTCTTTATTCACCAATTGCCATTATTAGTCATTTGTGGGTATCTGAATAGCTGTCGTGTTTTGTTTCTCATTTTTTTATTTTACTCAAATTTATACTTCAGTGCAAGCAGTGTACAAAAACAAGTGGCAATAAAGAAAATGCAAACAAAAAAATACATACAAATTATAGTAAAACCTAAAAATTATATATTAATAAAAAGTTCATCTCCTGAAGTTAGCAAACCTTCACAATCCTATCCAAAAGGCCTTCCAGGATAGCCAATTTTTTATAAAAAGTTCTAGAAGGCCCTGAGAGACGGAGACACCTTTCCCTCAAGGACCTTTTCCTGAAAATGGGAATGCCCACAGAAAAAGTTTGCTTTCAGGTTTTTCCTTTTGTAATTCTCAGTAGGTGGGGCCTTCAATACACCTTTTCTGTTTACTCATATAAAGAGTGAATTGAACTCAGTAGCCCTTACAAGTCCAACAACAGATGATATTTATAGTGATAGCTAACGTGATTTATAAAGAGAGAGCCATTTTGCACCAGCTGAAGTTTTTGGGTGGTGTTCAAGTTGAGCCCCATGCAAAACAAATCACAGTGACCCAGTGGAAGATGTCACAGGCATGAATGACTATTTTCTTTTTTTTCCCTAAAGTTTTTATTATTTTTCATACAATTCAGTAGTATTTATTCAACAAATGTGTTGACTGAGTTTATCACTCACTAATACAAATTTAGTTCCTAACCCTTTATTCTTTTCTCCAGCCATTGATAAGTCCAAAGTTTGAAAATATTCTGTTTCTTCTTTTTCTTTCAACCTCATAGTAAGTCTGTCCGTTTCTGCACATTCTAGTATTTTTTTTAATTATTTCTTCCTCTAGTAGTATTTCTTCATTTTTCCAATATTCTGCGAATATGATTCTTGCCACTATTATCACATGTAAAATCAAGTATATACTTTGTTTATCAATCTTTTCTGGCATTATACCTAGTAAAAAAAGTTCAGGTTTAAAATCTACATGCTTTCCCAACATCTTTTCTAGCCAAGTATATATTTTTGTCCAGTACCTCTTTGCTTTAAAACATGTCTATCATACATGATAATAAGTACCTGATTTATGTTTACATTACCAACATCTATCTAACATATTTTTAAACATTTTTGCTAACCTTGCTGGTGGCAAGTGCTATCTATAAAACATTTTATATAGATTTTCTTTATAAGAAGTTGACATTGTCAATTTATAATTTCTTTCCTACAGGTTTTGCCATTTTTCTAAATTTGTGTTATATCCAAAATTCTTTGTCCCTGTTATCATTGTTTCTTTAACTTGTTCATTTTCCATTTTCAAATTCAATAAAAAGTTATAGATTTTTTTAATTAGTTTCTCATCAGAGGTTAGTAATATCTAATCAAACAAGGTCTGATCTTTATAAAATCTGTACAGTTTAACATCTTTATCATATCTAACTTGCATTTGTAAGTATGCCCACCATGATAGATCCATATCCTGATTTTCCATCTCTTGTTTAGATTTTAAATTCCTTTCAGAATTTAGAATATATGTCCATATTTTTTCAAAATTGAATAATTTAGATGTACAAATGCTTCCATTGTTGAAAGCCATTGTGGAATTTTCAAGTATATTTTACATTTTATTTTTTCCCATGTTAGTTGTAATTCATTTCTTATATAGTGGTTTTGAAAATACTTATGAATTTTGTTTTCCTATAACATAAGAAAGCGTGCCAACCAAGTTGTATATCATGTCCCTCCAAATATACCAACCTTTTATTTCTAAGAGTTATCCATTCTTTTATCCATGTAAATACAGATGCTTAATAATATAAAACCCACTCTGGCAAGCCAAAACCTCCATTTTCCTTAGCTTCTTGTAGCATTTTCAATTTAATTCTAACTTTCTTTCCTTGCCAAATAAATTTCAAAATTAGTGTCATGGTTCCTATAGATGAAACCAATAAAAGAACTTCAAGGCAAGAATTCTTCCTTAAAGAACATTTTATTTGGAAACAAAATATCGGCACTCATGTAGTTGAACCCAAAACTGAGATTCCCTCCCCCCAGATACAAAGTAACAAGCTACAATTCCCATCCCACAAATGCTGTCATAAATCACATTCCCAATTAATGCAAGACGTGGGCTTTTCTCACCGGGCTCTCAGCCCGTCAAATCTTATCAGACTATGTCCTTGAGTTCCCACACTTCTACAATGTTATGGCCAACTAAACCCTCAAGTATTCATCCCCCTTCTACATCTGAACTCTAAAAGAATAGAAAAGGCACGTTAGAAGCAAAAGTAAAAATGGCTGCTGATTCTCAGGTGTCAGAGCAACAACATCCATTGTCACAGCGTTGACATCCGCCCCCCCTTAAGAGAATGGTGTAATCCTGCAATTTAAACAGAAGCTTAGGTTAAGGGTTGCCCCTTGGCTTGTTGGGGTGTTTTTGTCATAGAACTTACAGATGAGCCTATCAGCTTTCACATCATCAGATTTCACCCATGTGGCTTCTGATAATGGATATCCCTTCCACTGAACTAGCTATTGCAATTTTCCTTTAAAAATTCTAGAATCAAGGATGCTTATTATTTCATAATGTGTTTGCCCAGCTACCACTAGGGGAGCAGGTGCTTTCTTGGGAGGAGGTCGTAAAGTGGAACCCCTTAATGGTTTTAATAAATTGCAATGAAATGCAGGGTGAATTTTCCCTAAAAGTCGTGGGAGTTTCAACTCCACTGTAACTGGATTTATGATTCTGACAATAGCGAAAGGACCTAGATATTTCGGTCCCAACTTCTTACTAGGCAACCTAAGTCGTAGATATTCCGTGGATAAATAAACTTTTTCCCCAACATGGAGAGATCTCTGGGGAGATCACTTTTTATCAGCTTTATATGTCTCTGAGGCTTTCTTCAGTGCTGTTTTTGTTTTGTTCCAAACCTCTCCCCATTTTGACATCCATTGGTCAAGAGTCTGGGAGGTAGAGAGTCCTTGAGGATACTCAGGTATTGGGTTGAATTCTTTCCCTGTAGCAATCTTTTTTTTAATAAATATTTTATTGGTTTTTAACTATAAAAATCTCCAGTGCCTGGTGTACAGCATGTTGTACAGAGTCTGGGAGGTAGAAGGTCCTTGTGGATACTCAAGTATTAGATTGAATTCTTTTCCTGTGATAATCTTAAAAGGAGTGAAACCAGAGCTGGTATGAATGGGAAAAGGGAGGAGGTCAGTCCAGTTCGTTTGTTGGTACACCACATAGCACCTTAGGTACTGCTCCATCATTTAGTTCGCTTTTTCAGCCGCCCCATTCGTAGATGAGTGAAAAGCCGACAACAGTTCTTGTGACAATCCAATTTCTCCAAAATATGGCTGTAAATTACACCCCCTGTCAGAGATTATCCATTTTGGTGCACTGTGCAGCCTGTAAATATGTTTAAGGAACATTTTGGCTAGTTTCTGGGCTGACGGGAGTCCCTTGCAGGCGACGAAATGAGCCTGCTTCGAAAAAAGCTCAATCACAGTCCAAATTACCATATTTCCTGTGCTTTCAGGTAACTCAACTATGAAATCCATAGCAGTTTCTTCCCATGGCTGGGAAGGATCTGCGATGGGCTGTAGTAGTCCAGGGGGCTTCCCCAGAAGTCTTTTCGTAGCGGTACATACCGCACAACCTTTGACATAGTTTTCCACATCCTTCT